GGTCAGCTCCCACCCCAGCCGCCGTGCTCTGCACAGGGCCCGACAGCACAGGTGGTGACTCCATCCCGTGCCCAGAGGTTTTTCTACCCCACGGGACGGAAAGCGAAGGCACGACAGCGAGGAGAGCGGCTCCCGGCACCCGAGCTGTCCTGGTCCGAGGCCAGAAGGGCTCTCTGGCTCCTCTAATCTGATCTGCTTTAGATCATAGGCCACCCAAATAGCTTTTGTCAGGCTGAAACACTCCAGTTGGAGTGGTGATCTTCAGCCGGTGGCCCGCAGACCCCAGTGGTCCCAGGATAAGCAGCTGGTGAAAGATACTTAAGGAAAACCTCAGTAGGTAGAGGCTGGATCTGCGCCGCTGTATTGGAGGCGGTCAGGGCCAGGAGGGAAGAGTTTGAGTGAAGAGAGTGGAAACCACAGCGAGGACAGGACGGAGCAGCCTCGGTCAGGGTCACATCTGGCACCTAGACCCGAGTGGCCCACGCTGCAGCAGGGACATGCACTTCCACAGCTGGCACACGCCCACGAGCTGCCTCCTTCCACGGCCTGCACGGGGTGAGATTAGCTCAGCTTGAGACACCCGGTGTTTGGAAGCTGGGTGTTGGCTCCACGGAGAAGACTGCAGGCCAAGGAGCAAAACCTGGTGCAGCAAAGACCTCCCCAGGGTATGAGGCAAGAGCAGGTGAGGGATGCGTGGGGCAGGCAAGAAGATGGTCCCCTCTGGAAGGAGGAGATGGTCTCCAAGGCCACCATTGGTCTGTCAGCAGAAGATTCTTTGTCCCACATCCACTGACAACTGTCCTGATCATTCAGTCAAGCTACACCCACGAGGCAGCTGGAAACACTCCAGCAGTGCTCTCAGGGGCACCAGCCACCAGCAACAGTATCCCACACACCACATCATCAGCCACCTCCCTTCAGCATCTCCCTGGTCTCCTGCACACTGGACGTGAGGTTGGACTGAGTCCAACATCTCCAAATTCAGAGATAATGTCTCCATCTTTGTAAGGCGTCAGGAGAGGTTGGAGCACGCCGGTGTCACCCAGCAGGGTGCTGTGCTTGGCCAGACTGTGCCATACCAGAGGGGCTCTGAACCAACTGATGTCCCCAAGGATGATGCTGAGACTGAAATATCATTTTGGCTGTGTTTGGGACCACTGTTGGTTTCAAGATGAGTAGAAACAGCACAACACTGCTCTAAAAACAAATGGAAAAAAAAAACCCAAACCCAACCACAACAAGAAGGCTTTAAAAGCATCCTGAGCAGAGCTCTGTAGCTGAACATTTGGGTCACTACTGCAAGAACCCAGAGTCCACATCCAGGGAGTGAAGTTCCTGTCGGTGTGCTGAGCAGGGGAACACTCGAGGGCCTGGGCAGTCTGTGTCCTAGTGCAGGAGACATCTCCGAGCTGCTCCGAGCTGGGGCAGGACTGGGTCAGGCTGCAGCTGGAAGGGAGCGTTTGCTTCTGCTCACCCTCCTGGAGAGAGGAATCCAACCCATCCCTGGAACCATCCCAGGGGAGGTTGGCCGGGGCTCTGAGCACCCTGCTCTAGCTGGGGGTGTCCCTGTCCCTGCAGGGGGGTGGACTGGGTGACCTTGAAAGGTCCCTTCCCAGCCAAACCACGCTATGAGTCTATGAAAAGGGGAGCTGTGCTCTCTGCAAGCACCATGAAGTAAATGCAGGGGCCATTAAAAGGTACTAGAAGATGAAAGTCAATGTGAGCATGGGAACAAAGGACAGAAATTGGCTGGGCTTTCATATGGGTTGACAATTCAAAGTTAGGCATTGTCCTGTCTTCAAACCAGGGGAAGAGAAGAAACATCAGCTTAGTTCAGAGGATGTCATGGCTTCTTCAGTGGCCTCTTGGAGAGTTAATGTATCCAGAGATGTAATACAGGAAATACCCTTACAATTTGGTGGCGTGCTGTCCACTCATGGACAGAGTGCAAGGCTCCAAAACTATGACATTAAACTCACAGACCTCAGAATAGCAAAATGCCACCATATTAAGTGGACAAGGTCATCTCTTTTTGGATCTTCTAAAGCTAAGGCTAGGCCTTTGAGGTCTTCTCACAGCATTTGGTGCTTCTAATATATCAGAAGATTTCTCTGGTAGTAGCAGGCTAAGAAAAGCCTTGATGGCTCCACACCAGCTGCTGCTTTGAGTGTGCTCTTCAGAACAGCCCTCTCAGGGGTGCACCTCAATACTGGGCTTGGGTCACTTCCACCCAGAACCATGCACCCTGAACAAGATGTTCTTTGTGCTTCAGCCACCACCGAGCAAGGAAGGGCCACGATGCTCAGGCAGAGGGTCCTGCAGCGTGCAGGGCTGCTGGAGGGGTTTTGGCTCCTGACAATGAGCAGCAGCTCCCTGGCTTCAGACACTTGAGGTGAGCTTGGAGGCTCCAGGCACAGAGCAGGCAGTTCTGGTCTGGTTTCCCACCCATCTGGCTTGGCCACGTTGTCCTCAGACTTGGCTGGATATAACATCCAGCCAGTGTAAACATCTGAACAGCTTCTCTTCTGGTGGTTTCCTCAAACCCATCTGCGTTTCAGCTGCTGCTCTCCAAAGTCCAGGTCAGGGGCCCACAGAATGACCAGAGAAAGGGAGGGTCTGAAAGTCACCCTGACGTGGTCACAGGTGGAAGAGGTGATGGATGGAGATGCTCCAGCTCAGCAAACCCACTGCACCTTCATGTGGTTTTTCTGGCTTGTCCCCACCTCCTGCCCAGGTGTCTTGGTTCCTCTAGAACATTTTCTCTCTCGCAGCACAGGGGGTTAGGGTTAGGGCACGCTCTCATTCCCAGCTCCCAGCTCACCCGGGCATCCCAGGCAGCTCATCTCACCCTTCCTTCAGCACTCAGCACCCTCAGGACCTGCTCCAGCTTTGCTCCTTCGGGGCTGCCAAAATCCCTTCACCGCAGCTGCGACCCTGGAGCACACAACAGCTACAGAGCGAGGAGAGGCCTGAGTTCCATCTGCCCTGATCTCCTCCAGGGTTCTTCAGTAATTAACGAGCAACGTCGAGGTTATCTTCACACCCTCAGCTGGTTTAAGTCACGTGCTGTTCAGTCTAGACACGTCTGACAGTAATTATTGGCTCTTAGTCTTTGTCCTCCCATCACCTGTCCCGTGTCACCTGAGCCCTTTCCCCATTTCAACATGCACAGCAGCTTCTTTGTCTCCCTTTGGACTAACTCCAGCCATGGAGCCTCTCCCTGGGTTTCCAGAGCAGGAGTTAGTTAGTCCCATAACTCTCTTCTGAGGCCCCTCAAGCTCTTACTGACAGTTTGTGCACCCATGGCAGCTGTGCTGGGTCAAATCCTGCACCCATCGCAGGGCTGCACTCGCGGGACCCAGGGCTGGGGTCTCGCTCCTCTCCCTCCTACGTCCTTCAAGCGGTGATGGCAGCAGCAGCTTCAGAAGGTGTCTGTTGAAAAAAGGAATGAAATAACCTCCCTCCTTGCAGCGGGGTTTGGTGGGGGGGAGGAGGTGGGGGAGCACAGCAGTGACTCTG